TAAGATCAAGGGGGAGAGACCTTCGATTTCTATGTAGGGTGAGGATTGTTGGTCCCTTATGAAACAATGTAGATGAACTCAGTTGTGTTCATCTGCCAGTTCTATTTGTGGTACATGGGGCCATTGGCAACTCTTTATTACCCCAAATAGCTTGAGTGGCTTCACAAACTTTGTCACTTTTCTAAATGATCAGCTTTTCTGGAGCATTTAGAAATATTTCAAACAGAAACAGCTCCAGCAGAGAACCCATTAGAGTTTGCTGGTCAATCTGTCTTCACTGAGAAAACCAACTGCTACTTTTATTCCATATCTTTTTGCTAGTCATTTATCTGTGCAAATGCCTTCCCACTTTATCGCAGCCATGCTCAGTTTCTGCAAGAGCTTTTGACAGGGGCTGTTTGAGAACTTATTTTGTAAAGCCTACTGAATTGTATCAACTGCATCTTCTTTGTCCACATAGCATGCAGCTGCTTTAGATATCTAATGTAAAAGGAGTCAGTAAGCTGTGCATAGATGCACTGACTCTTTCTTAAGATGTCATGTTTATCTCCGTGCCTTTTTTCTTTTGAAGCAGTTTCTCTTACTGCTGGTGGCTTACAATGGAGTGGCTTATACTGTGTCAGGGCATGTCCATAGGCAAGTGAAATGCTTCTGAGTCTGTCCTCTCCTCTGTCTTTGGCTTTCCAAACTGTTATTCCAGTGCCATCAGTTCTTACATGTTATACCCTCCAGTTCCTCCATACTTTCTGCTGCAGCTCCAGAGTAACTGCTTATGCAAACCAGTTTGTCTTTCTTGTTGATAAATTACAGAGGTGCAGAGGGTTTATTTTGCTGTGGCCCACTTTGGTACAGTTCAGGTACCACAGTTATGGAACCTCTGGCTTGGAGATGATTCCTGAAAGCGGCATGTGCTCTTTGGCAGAAGGTTGGGTTTAACTGCTGCCTGAAATTACATTCTGTGCTGGGAAACTGTGACCTCCTTATAAACTTGAATGGTAGCAAGGGGGTTTAATAGAGGAAAATAGATGCTAAGTGTTTTGGCAGTCTGTCCTGGAATCCCAGAGGGATCATTCAGATCTGTTACCTGGTGGGTAAAAGCTTTGCTCTGTGCCTGTTTTGATGATACATCACTTCTGTATTCTGGTGACTGAGGAGATGACTGTTGTAGACTTGTTGGTTGATGGACAGTTTGTAGATGATCATATGCTCTAATGAATTTCTCTGTAGGAAGGACAGGAGTCAGTTATCAGAATCCTCTCTGTGAATTATTTTCTCCACAATGGTTGAATTATTCCATGTTTTCTACACACGTTTGTGCTCATATTTTTCAAATAGTGCTGCTAAGAAGAATTCTGTATCTGAACCCGGCTTCATCAATAAGGTTGTGTTGCATAATGCATTTTTAGCTTAACAAATGAGTAACTTTGGAAGTAACTTTGGGATCATATACTACAAAATAGCCTCTAATTTCCAAGATGCTGTAATAATCAGTAGTTATTCTTACTCTTTTTTTTATTTAGAGGTGTTAAATTGTGTTCTTGTTAAGAGTTTTAACAAGGTGTGGTTTGATGTATTTGGTCGCGTTATTTGGGTTCCTTAGTTTTTCCTGACTTGGATTTAGTGTGGCTGCAAAGTTCAGCTGTGCTTGAGATTTGGCTTGTATTGTTTTGAAAATACGCATATTACTTTTCCCACCCCCTATTGATTATTAAGATGGTCAAGCAGAAGAGACTTGTGTAATTCATGCTTGACCACAGATTTATCAATGAAGAAATCAAGTTTCATACTGCTGTGTGAATTCAGCATGAGGAACATGAGAGGGTGTTATTTTTGTATGAGAACTTATGTTGAGAATGCTCATCTGGATTGTATCTGCAGCTGATGGGATCAGGTCATTTCTTTGCTGTCATTTTTGGTTGTTTAGTCTTTTTTTTTTCTTGACTGAAGTAGATCTAAGAGCAGAGTTTTGGCTGTTCTTAGTAATAGAGTACTAAAAGGCTGATTACATGTTGATGCAGTAGAGTCCTTATATTTTCTTTGTGTGACCAGTAGAACCCGTTTATAAATGGACAGTTTGTATCTCTAAACTAGCAGATCTATTACAATGACTTCTTGTGAGCCTCAGTATATTAAAGTCATTATTCTTGGCCATATTTTCAAAATCTGTTATATCTGCAGTTGGAAAAAAAACCAGTAGTGCATTTTCCTGCTACCTTTCCTTTGGCTTTTGTTTTCCAAGCTCACTTTTTATTGTTAGATAACAGGCAGATATTTGATGGCCAGAGTACTAGTAGCTGCATCACACCCAGTTTCTTTCTTGGTCATATTCTTTATTTAGCAGTTTTCTTATAGTAAATAATTGTCATAGGAAGCCAGCTGTTTGCCAGTTTAACACTTGAAATACAGTGTTAACATGCAGTGATGGTTTTCGAGCTGTTACTTGTTGGGCTCAGGTAGATCAGTCAGTCATTAATCTCTCTATAATTCAAACTACTCATTTGCCTACAAGCACTAAAACTCATGTGTGCCGAAACTGGTGTCTCTGTGTCATGACAATCTTGGTTGCCATGTTCAGAAAAGTTGAAAATGGTCTGAAAATTTGATTTAATATTGCCATATATATTAATTTTTTAATAGTTATGTGTTTAGAATTTCATAAATGAGTCTATCTTGTTACTGTATTAACATTTCTCTATTTTTCTGATGTTCCCAGTAGTAGCTTTTCACCCAGGATTTTTAAAATCATGTGGGTTTGAGACATACTTGGACTTTTAGGAAAGATTAAACCACATAGGCTTTGGTCTGTACAGAAAAGTCACGTTGTTTTAATATAGGATTTTATTTTGCAGAGCAGCTTAAAAATCAAAGGTGCTTGTACCTTTCTGGTAAAACTGCCTATTAGCAAGAGGAATGCCCTATATTGAAAGGATACTGGTATCTAAAATACTGGATAAAGCTGTTAGAGGTTTGATTGTGTCCTGCACCTTAAGTGTTTGGCAGTTGCTGGTGTTCCTGCACTTTGGGAGAAGCATTAAGTAGTTTTTCTTTGGTTGAAATCCATACTTATGATTTCTCTATGGGCAAAGAATGAGTCCAGAATGCTGATAAGCTTAGTGTTTTCCTTGGATTATGTTGTCTGTGTTGCTCCAGTCTGGAGCCAATTGTCTCGTATGAAGACAGGCTGAGAAAGTTGGGGCTGTTCAGCCTGGAGAAGAGAAGGCTGCGTGGAGACCTCATAGCAGCCTGCCAGTATCTGAAGGGGGCCTATAGGGATGCTGGGGAGGGACTCTTCATTAGGGACTGTAGTGATAGGACAAGGGGTAACGGGTTAAAACTGAAACAGGGGCAGTTTAGATTGGATCTAAGGAGGAAATTCTTTCCTGTGAGGGTGGTGAGGCCCTGGAATGGGTTGCCCAGGGAGGTTGTGAATGCTCCATCCGTGGCAGTGTTCAAGGCCAGGTTGGACGAGGCCTTGGGTGAGATGGTTTAGTGTGAGGTGTCCCCCCCCCGCATGGCAGGGGGATTGGAACTGGATGATCTTAAAGTCCTTTCCAGCCCTAACTATTCTATGATTCTCTCTCTGTAAACAAGCGTTTACAACCTCATCTGGCCAGCAGTGACTTCTGGGCTGAACGAGCTGAGAGACCAGTTTAGGTTGGTTGATGGAATCCCTGGTTTTGTTTTGCTCTTTAATGAAACACTGAATTGAGTCTCGCCGTGGAAGAGCAAAAGTTTGATGCTGTTTGGTTCCCTTCAGAGTTTGATTCAAGTTCTTTCTCATATCAGTGTCATCTGTGTGGGTATTTGCCTTGTGTATGTGGTTTGTTGGGCTTTGCCGTTTCCCTTTGTGAGATTTGTGTATACAGGTTGAAACTGTTTTATTTTGGTGGAAGTTTTCACTATGCTTTTCTCATTATATTTTTTTTAAATTCAAGTTTCAGGAAACATCCCCTGGGGTGGGTTGTGCAGTTGATAATCTTAGTTTCCATGCTGTTCTTCCCCTGGACTTCAGAGTTTTTGGTTAGCTGCTTGAAGTTCTGCAGAGAGAGGCTTTTAGTCGGTAACGGATTTGGTGGCTTTGACGCAAAAAGGCATTCAGGGAGGAGATGAAATGCAGCTCCATCCCATGGGAGCATCTCACCCATAGCTTGAGTGTTTGCATTTAAAGGGGGTTGTTCTCTTAAACTGGGAAGAAGGACGATGCCCACTGGTGGTCACTGTTTGAACTCGTGGAATTTCACTTGTAGTGCTCTGGTGTGTGCGTGTAGGTGTTGGGGAATAACTCTGTGTCTCAACATGTATTTACTTAGGACAAGGTACTTGAATGATTGAATTAAATCTGTGCCTAAGTGAGGTTTTGAATGCTGATAAACAGGTGTTACAGGACTAGGGGTGGGGGTGGGCCTTGTTTGCAATTCATCCTTTTTTTGACATGTTATGTTTCGGGTAACTACCCATTTCCATGTCCCTGTTGTATTTTGATAACTGTGGTTAAAGGATAACTCATAATGATAACTTTTTAAATTTTATCTTTAAAGTTGTTTCATTCACTAATTTTTGCAGTGTATTAATTGCACAAATGGTACTTCAAATAGTTTCAACTTGGAGGAAAGTAATTCCTGCAGTTGACTTCCTATTGTAATCTTTGCAGTTAGGGCTGCCTTTTCCATTGATGAGTTGTTACTAAGAGGAAGAATTGTGAGATAGGGAAATCTCTGTATGTAATTTGAATCAGAGCTTGGTGATTAAAGCGATTACAAGCCTTGCTTAATTCAAAAGTCTTTTTAAAAGCACAGCTTTTATGTTGCTGCTAAGCTCCATTTCTGATAAGGGCCAAAATAAAGATACCTACTGAGGAAAAGGGGGCTGCCAGGTTTTCTGGGCAGCTATGTAATAGCTATTTTTGTGTAAGGAGTGAGCTAAAGTGCTATGCTTAGGAGAAAAATTCACACAAAGATTCAACCCTCATATGTGTGTCTCTCTTTCTCCCCACCCTCTAGTGATATGCAGCTTCCGAGGAACGGTACCGCAAGGCTTGGTCCTGGAACTAGGTGAAACTGTCCAGATCCTAGAGAAATGTGAAGGTAAGTGTGATGTCCAAGAAGGAATCCCATTCTTTTGTAGAAGAATATGCAAATATTTGAATCTAGCAGATTTTAATAAGTTGTTTGCAAATCATAATGCATCAAATGAAAGCTCTTAAATAAACCTTATCTGACCCACTTTCTGTAGGAAAGGCTGAGTGCTCTTGGCACTAATCCAGTCTGATAGGGGGTCAGTGTGTTTTAAGTTAACCATCTGTCCAGAAAATCTTGAACCCTGACCTGATTGTTGTACTGTAATTGGGTCTTGCAGTGAATTTTCGTAATGTAAAATATATAATCATATCTTATTTTACTATATTTTTCTCAATGCTACTGTATTTCAATTAAGTATATCAGGGTGCATTATTTAGGAACATTTGAACACATGAAAAATATTACTTAAGAAATAGGTTAGCAAATCATTTGGGAGCAACACAGTGAAAAATCTAAAGAATATGGATTTAGGGGGGATTGCTTTGCATTTATCTTTATGTGTGGTTTTGTACCTAAAGGAAAACGCTGTTGTAAGCATATAGCTATAGTTTTTTCTTCAGTGGCTGAAGATCTCTGTGTGCTAACAAATTGAATGGCCTGATCCTTTTGCTTTATTCGCATGAACAGTGTGATTGAACTTGTTGTATGTAAGAGAATTATTTTTACCCTAATGTTCAAGCAAGTCGTGTAAAACATGTCTGTTGAGAAGTAGGTTGACAAGATGCAGTATGAGAACATGTTTCACTATTGAATGAGGTGGAATAATGTAACCTTAATCCTGAAGTGTTAAAACAAATTTAAACCCCAGATCCGCACATTTGAATTCCAAATTAGCGGAGAGTTGTAGGTTTGGTTTTGTGTTTGTTTAGTTTACACCATTTTTCATCTCCAGTGTTAGTGTTGCTGCACCAACCTTCTGCATGTTTATCAGGAGGCTGCTTTTCTTCTCTCATGCCTAGGTCTGTCTTTTGCTCCTGATGCTTTTTCTTCTCAGGTGTTTTGTTTCTTTACCTACTGACTTAACTCTTCACGAAGAAGTGACTTCTTGCATGCTATTTTTAATAAGAAAGTAGTAGCTTCTTGACCTACATGTGTAAAAAGAATCTGTTGAATGAGACTTGTGCAGTGCAATAGTGATGTTTAATCCATGAAGAAGTGTGCTGTGAACGATACCTGCAGTATTATACCTGCAAATGATAATGTTTAAAACCCCCCCACATGGTGTAATGGGCTAAGCTTTGCTCAAGCACCGTGTGGTGATTGTAGTCATTCTGTCAGATCTTGTGAATTAGTACATGGTGCAAGCTCAGGAGAAATCTATTACTTTATATAGGATAGCATAACTCTAAGATAAAACTGTGCATCTTGCTGAAAGCACTCCTGGTCTTTTCAAGTAAGACCTGGTAATCAAGGAAACTTTCAAAACCCTGGGAAATAAAAGCACAATCTCAAAGGAGCAGGGTGCTTACAGGAAAACAAAAGGATAATCCAGTGTCTCTTTACAGTGTTGTAATAATTATGCTCTATATTTCCTTTGCCAGTAGTTTTGAGGATGATCCCTTAAAGCCAGTTCATGCCAGTTTTCAAATTGCTGAGAAAGGAGGTCCTCAGACAAAGTGCTTTCCTGACTAGAAGGAGGTGTTTGCACAGGGGTGTTTTAGGTTTTGTTTTTTAAGCCCTCTATCCTGTCATTTTACTGAAGGTGCCTTTACCCCAGACTTTACATACAGAAAAAGATACGTTGATTTTGATTATAGTATCTGCAACTCCCCAAGATGAAACTCATCTGAATATTCAGATCGTTTGCGCTGCAGCTCCTGTACGTGTGAATTAGGCCGGAAGCACGCTAGCTGAGCAAAGTTGGTTCTTAAAAGAAAAACAAAGTGTCTGTTGTTGAAGCATTCTTGGCTGAGTGGCTCTTCAGTGTGGTCCTTGGTTTGCCTTGAAAATCTAAAATCAAACATATCTCATCTTCTACTTCTGCCTGACTTCTCAGAATTCTTTTGTCAGACAATTTGGAGAAATTAATGTGAACCCATGCAAATAAGGGTCACTGCTGCGGGAGTCGACAGAAGATCCATTGCTGTTTCAGCTTCACTTCTTAGAACAGTTTGTGCATAATTCTCTAAGTGGCGACTTTGCTGTCTGGGTTAAAAGGATTCACATACACACGAACCTTCTAGTGACGTGAAGAATGATTTTAGAGACTTGCTGAAGAATTCAAGGCTCCAAAAGATTCAGATAACTAGCTATATTTCTGAATGTGCTTATTATTAATCATAATGACTTACTGAACAACTGTAGTATTATTCCAAAAGAGCAAGTGCTCTTTTGTAGTGACTGGTGTACAAAGCATTCAATTGCTACATTTAGAGCAATTGAATGAAAGAGCAGGAAATGTAGGGAATCTCCTGTACTAAGTTCTCAGGTACCTCTGCAGCTAAGTTTTATATATTCTTGTAGAATAAAGGAATAAATATATATGCATGCACACACATACATACACACATGTGCATTTGAGTCTTACAAATCTGGATACCAATTGATAACGCATTTAACTTTCATTATGGTTGTGTATGCATTTTTTTAAATAAAATGCGGTGAAATAGTTGTCTTTGTTACTCTGGAACTGTTCATGTGCTTGAAATCGGAATTCTTGAGTTTCAGTCAGTTTGTGTGCCTGCCATTCTGCATGCTTTCATACCAGGACACGGAAGTCTAAATGGCTGCTTTCTAACCCTACCTAAACCTGATGAATGTCTCCTACTGCATTCCCCGCTCCCCAGTTTAATGTGACAGGGTTGAAATCCATGTGCTATTGCATCTGCCTTTCCCCAGAAGCTACAAAAAACTCCATCCATGTTTCATGAAATGCCATGCTGTCTCTAAAGCATGTGATGTTGCTGTGGTAGTTTGAATGACTCTGAGATCCTTGACTGGTCTCACTCAAGTTATCAGGACATCAGTTGTGCGCATGCTTGTCTTTCATAGCTTTCCCCTCTCTCCGTTCTCCTCTATGCACCCTTCCGCTTATGATCTCCACTTGAGAGAGAACTGAAACAGTAAATGGTGTTACCTTGTCTGCATGCCATGCATTGAGGAGGTGAAAGGGTGTGGCAATAGTTTGCCACCTGTCAGTGCTGAAAGACAGTTTTCTTCTGTCAAGTGACAAAGCATGAGCATCCTTCTGGATTGAAATACACGTGGGCTGCACTTTCTAAAGAACACCCTATTTTCCAAGTCAGATGGCTGTAGCCCTGCTGCTGGCAGTAGCTGTGAGTAGCTAACAGCATTCAGAGTAAAATTCAAAATGTCTGGTTTATCCATTTATTTTTATTGCTAGGGAGCAGGTTTGCTCAGATTAAAAATGTTACAACTTCAGTGACTTTAATTATTACCTTGAGACTCTCATATAGTCACTGAAGAAACACCAGCTGATGCCTGAAGCACCAGTTAAGAGTATTATCTTAGCCCTGCAAATTCTGGTATCCACACAAGTGTTGATTTGCATGCTGTTAATGCGTGTGTATGTTAATAACAGCGTTCTTAAGCCATGCATGTGATATCTTTAAAGTTTCTGTTACTGCAGCAGTGGAAGCATGGCCAAATAAAGGCTGTATGGTATTTGGGACACCTAAGCAGCAGATACAGCTTGAAATCAGGGCTTTTGAAAAGTGATAATCTTTGCCATGCTTCCAAGTTGTACCATGCAGATGAGTGAGGAATCGCACTTCACACTGTCCGTCATTGCTGTGGAACAGTGCAGGTTTCCTTCCACCTGCTGTCCTGTGCCTGGGCCTAATTGAGTCACTCCCAGTACCCTGGGTTTACCCTGAGAAAGAGATCTCCAGTGAGATACCTCTTTTCCCTTTTCATCCCGTTTCCTCTTTGCCTGTTGTGCAATGTGCCAGTGGAGCTGAAGTCTCTTGGACCCACAGAGCTGCTGCAGAAGATCTTCCCTGGCTATTAAACTAGTCTTTGGAGCACAGGAGTGGCTTCTTGATGGTCCTCTATTTGGCTAAGGCCAAGATAAAAAACCTTCTATCTCTTCTGCTTTTGTTGCAGCATCTCTGAGTTCATTGTTAGCGTATTCCTGTGGTTCTGCTGGCATGAGGTTGCTCCCTGACATGGTGTTGGCAGCTTGGGTTAGGTATTCATCTGCTGCTTGTCCTTGTCCTGGCACTGCTCAGAGCAGCAAGCTCTGAACAGAGTGGTCTTGGCATTGATGGTTTTGGCATCAAGAAGCTTTTGCTAAACAAAGTTACAATCCCTCTTCTGGGTCACTTTGAGTGCCTTTAGCTCTGCACACTAGTTATATGCAGGTTGAAAGGTAAAAGCAATTGTTTATTGGCCATTCTGTGCAAAAGAGAGCTTTCCTCCTAGAAAAGATTTGAGGGTTACTCATGTTACAGCAAAGTACGCTTATTTTTGTAGGACAAAGAAGGTTTGAATCTTGAAACGGAATCTCCTGACAGTGCTTTCTTTAAGAGCCAAGTTCAGCTTTAGGACTTGCTGTAAATACTTGTGTAGTTTATTTTCAGAATTCTGCTGGTTACGGTACTGTATGTGGGTTTTTTCCCCTGCAGTCTGCAGCTGATGAGACTTTATTTAACCCAGGTAGCTGAGCTTTATTCTTCTGAGAAGAGATCAATCCCCTTCAATTAGGACCCTTTTGTTTTCCCACTGCTGAGTTTTCCATGTGGCGCACCTCTTGTTCCTTAAGTGGAAATCTGAAAAAGGTTATGAGGTGGCTTTTAGAAATAACATCCTGTTTTGTTCAAGGCACTTCTGAGATCCGAAAACATTGATAGCTCTTCTGACTGCTTAGATTAGGAAGTTGAGGTGTGTGGGCCTGCCCCAGGGTTCCTTTTGCTACTTAGGTAAGCTTGCGCTATTGCTGAGACCTGTGAGTGAGATCCATCTTTGGAAAGACTGTTTCTCTTCATCCAAGAGTACGCAGGTTCCTGGCTTCATGTTTCCCACACTGTGAATTTCCATCTGTACAGGTAGCTGTAGGTGAATGATTGCTTGTTTACCTAAGCCTTTTTTTTTTATATGTGGTGGTGTGACAGTCCATTTTTCTGTCCTGCTTTTCAGAGGCCTTGTTGAATTCTAGGGTTCAGAGGAGCTAGAGCAGGAAGCCTAATGCTTTCTATAGCTGAAAAAGCCCTAGAAACAAAGGGAAGGGCCGGAGATGCGTTCTTGCATATACTGCTAAGTAATTTAGCTTTTATTACTGGCCCTCAAGTAGCCTCCAGTGTGAATATATGTACATACAATGCATTTAGAAGGAAATGTTATAAGTTAGTGGTGGTCTTGATGTGCAGGGGAACAGGCATAATGGGGCACTTTTCCTTCTGTTTTCCTCAGATTTTATTACCATGGAAGTAATTCTTCTTGCAGCTCTTTGAGGAATTCTTTGTTGGGTAGGATAAACAGGGAGCAGAGCTGTGTATCAGCTTACTCTTCACTTTTCTTAGCTTGTATCAAATGTTGCTGGATGGTATTGAAAAAAGCAGTTGCAAATGATTGCAAATGATTTCTTAGGTTCTGTGTTTCACCTAAGAAACATCCTGTTTAGGCTCTATGGTAGGTTTAGCTGGAATGGATCACTATGCAGTGTGGTTGTGTCACTTTGGGTAGTCTGCTTGGTTTATCTTCTGCACTGTGCAGTACAGCCCATGCAAAAGCAAAGTTGAAATAGTTTGCAACAAAGTTGACTTGTCCAGAACACACTGGAATGGATATGATTCTATTTGCTTTTAGAGTACTTGGATTAAAAGTTTGTCTTGGGCGTAGTGAGGATATAAAGCATGAGGTGTTCAAAATCAGTTAAATTGGGAAAGCACAGGTAATTCCTGTGCTCTTCAAGGCCAGGGTGGACAGGGCCTTGAACAACCTGGCCTCTAGTGGAAGGTGTCCCTGCCTATGGCAGGGGGTTGGAACTGGATGGTCTTAAGGTCCTTTCCAGCCCAACCCATTCTGTGATCCTGTCATACTCAGTTTCTTCAAACCGAACAACGTTGCCCTGCCATTCATCAGGATTTATCATGTAGGTGTCTTTGTCATGCCAGTTACCCAGAAATACGCATTGATGCAACATTAAGATACAATGCAAAGTACTGCATTTGTTCCTCGTGTCCTCATAAATGTTCAGGCATAACAACACTTTCTTCAGTTCTTGCTGTGCACTGGTGGAAGCAGTAGGCTCATCCTATGCCTCTCTTCCTCTGGGCTGAAAGACACAAAGGATAATTGCTAGACAGTTCATCTGTTCAAATTGTGGACACTTACAACTGTTATTTTGCATCAACTTCCTTACAGAATTCTTGTAGTTTCATAACCATGTTTCTCTGATTCTTAAATTTTAAATCCCATCTTTTTCACCATTTTCTTGAAGTCAGATCCCTTTAAAGTCTATGTACCACTAGAAAATGAACGCCATAAAGAGTTAACAACTACTTATTTGTAATATAGTAACATCTAAAAACCGTAGTCACTGTTGAGGTTTAACTACGTTGTATGTGTTTTAATCACAACTAGCTGGTGCACCTGCCTGGATTTGTTGACCGTTGTGATTGAATCCTCCAAAATAAGTGTTCTTTAAAATATGAGATCAGTAGTAATCAATTTAAGACTTAATTCCAGAGTGAAGCTTTAGTGCATTTTAGTGAAAAATGGAATGCAGAGGTAACTTTCTATATGTGTTTTCTTTAAAAAAGCATTGTGCCTTTTCTCATAGCTTTTACTTTGAGATACAGAGTGAGGTTTTGGTGGTGTTCCCTGTAAGCAAATCAGGAATTACCACTTAGTGCATTCAGGTTCTGATGAGCTCTTTTTACTTTATCTTGCTTGCATGGAGTTTGAGGAAACTTAGAGAAGGGTGATTCCAAAAATGTGCCACACTGAAAAAAAGGAAAGGGAAACTAAGATTTGGAGGGCAGAATCTACAAGATAAAAGGGAAATAGAAGAATTTTCAAATATATGAAAGTACCTACAAAAGGGAGGTCAATAAAATGTTTTCCATTGTCTCCAAAAGAAAAAAATCCTGGAGGCAAATAGCAGCAAAGGAAGTTCAGTTTACAAGGTGCATGTACGTTGTCTGAGCCACTGTAATAGGTTGTCCAGTGAGGGTTTACATCTCCACTTGACATTAATATTCTAGGGTTTTAAGCAAGCTGTGCAACACCACCACTTTTAAACTGATCTGTGTGGGTGTGGAACAGCAGAAATACCCTCTGTTTCCTTGGAATACTGTGCAGAAATACCTTGGAATTTAGGTTTAGCGAATGTTGTGTGGCTCATTTCCACAGGCTAGGAGGGCTGTGTTGTTCAGTCCTCATAATAAATTACTGGACACCGTTTAAAACCAGGTGAAACCTCTGTGAGGAGAGGTTTAAGGCATGAGCTAGGGGATTTCTCAGGGGTGCTTCCATTCTGGTTTTCTACAGCTCTGTAAACACATCACGTTTCAGCTTTGAGGGTTTGTTTTGAGATTAAGAACAGGAAACTCAGAAATAAGGTAGTTTTCTTTGATACGTGCTTTATCCTCTAGCCTGCCTATCTCTAAATCATTAATAGACGCCTTGGGTTGTGTTCTAACTGCTGCAGTTCTGTTCAGCAAACTTAGGGGAAACCACGTTTTTCCGTATTTAGTGACAAGTTTGCCATGCTGTGTATCTTGAAGTTGAAATGCATGCTTATTTCTAAGATTCAGAGTCTATGAATGTACAAGTTAGCAGCAGGCTGTTATTTAATGTTGGTAACAATGAATCATAGGACAGATACATCATGTTTTCTCCTGTGACCTTAAAAATGCATAGCATGTTACTCAAAAACAGGTGTTGCTGGCACAGTTGCGTGGACTTAATGGAAATCACCCATTTTAAGGAGCTGTATGTGGTGTTTGTGCATATATTTATATTGATGTGATTGCTATGAAGTTTGATCAATTATAGAAATAAATGGAAAGCAGTTTTGTTTTTAAATATAAGCAGTCATTTCATGGGAAAATAAATCTTTATGTCCTATCTTAATGAGAAATTTGTTTAATAAAGAAGATGGAGTTTGATTTTTTTTTCCATGCTAAGATTTGTGTACGTCTTGGATCCATCAATTATTTTCTTTTATATTGACTCAGATTTCCTAGCAGGCTGTATTTAAAACAAAATCAAGGCGCTCTTTGCCACTTCTGAGCCTCATGATGAGACATAGCATAGTTCAGCCAAGTATGGAGTCCTTATTCTGAGAAACAATATACAGTTACTTTGTGCTGTTCTTCTCTGTTCTTCATAGCAAATTAACGACAAGTTTTCTGAGCGCTCTTTTAAATGTTGCAGGTACTAAATCATATCTGTCCTCTCTCTGTAGGAAGAAAAACATTAAAAGGAGGAAGTTGCTGGAAAAAAATGATTTTTAAGGATAGTGGCCTTAGGTTATCTGAGTTTAGTTTTACCAAGTTTGGGTTCTTGCCTGTGTGAATACTGGGCTGCAGTAGGTAGAAGATGATGTGCAGGCAGTTGAACGTGCTGCTTGTGTAGTAGTTGGGCCTGGCCAGCTTTGCCTGTGGATCTCTGGTTGGGCATGGCCAGGCCTCCTCCATACAACTTACACCCTGGAACTCATCAGCATGCGTGCTCCTGTGGGGTCTTCCAGGCTCAGTTCTTAATGGTTAGTTAGCTTTACATTCTGAGGCTGAAGCATTAGACCCAGATATGAGGAGAGCAGCATATTTTAAACAAGAATTCAAGTATTGTGTGTCCTGCGGAGTGGAGGAGCAGCTCATCTACCATGATGTGCTCCGTTTCCGTTGTTGAATTGGGTGGTGTTTTCAGCACCTTTTTCCTGATGGACCTTGCATGGAGGGACGTTACTTTCACCTGTGCAAAACAGGAGTAATTGGGTTCTGTTCAACTTGTAGCTTTTGCAGCATTGACTTTTACTCCTGGTTTATTGACCTCTCTGGGGCTGCTACCTGATAAATACAAGAAAAATAATTGGGTTTGTGAATTTAGATCCTGAAGTCTGGTCTCTAGTCTCACAGACATACCAAAGATCAGACACGTACAAAGGATTTATGTTTGTTTAAACAACACTAGAAATGCATGGTAATGGCTTTTCCTGTCTTCAAAAAGACAGGTTTTTAAAGGCTGGAGATTTTATTAAAAGAAGTACTACAAAAAGACTCGTGTACCAGCACATGAGGAAAGTGCTCAGTAGAGAGTCTTGCTGGAGTGACTGCATGCATCTTTGCCACAGTGGCTAATGAGTGTGAGTACAGTGAATTAAGCATACTAAGCTGCTTTTATTTGTGTTGGGAATTCCAGGTTCTTAATTGCTTGTCATCATTGCAGAGCGAAAGAATCATAGAATAGTTAGGGTTGGAAAGGACCTTAAGGTCATCCAGTTCCAACCCCCCTGCTGTGGGCAGGGACACCTCACACTAAACCATCTCACCCAAGGCTTCATCCAGCCTGGCCTTGAACACTGCCAGGGAATATTGAATTAAAAGGAAACATCACAAAAAACCCCAAACAAAACTAAAAAAAACCCAAGAACAAATAAGCACGCAAGCAAAAACCCAAACCCTTAAAAACTTTGGGCCTCTGTGAGGCACAGCTGGTTTTTGAGATGATCTCAGCAGCTGCATAGTTCTCAGTCACTTTGCTTCTGTGTGAAGTAGGCAATGCCACAAATTAACATAGTGTGGTTTGTCTGTTTTCAGGCTGGTACAGAGGTGTTTCCATTAAGAAGCCCAATGTAAAGGTAAGTGTATATACATCTTTCTAATCTAGTGGGAGATTATATCCATCTTGCTTTTGCAACCTAATAACCTTTTTGTTTTCCTCACCCTTAGGATTTTACTTCTCTAACTTGTTTTCCTGTGGGAGGATTGGCTTTATTTTCTATATTGAGAGAATGATGCTTGTTAGTTACCCAAAGGATCAGAAAACTTCCTGACATGTACCATGTAATCGTTCCATCATTTCTAATTCCCTTTAAGAAAAGCATAGATGGGTGATCTAGCACTGCTTGGTTCAGGGTTTTTAAAGAACAAGTTTTAAAAATTACATTATTAATCTAAGACAACTTTGAAAAAAGTCCCATGAAAAAGAGTATTGTGAGTTCGTTCTTTTTTTCAGATCTTCATACTTTGAGCACTGCATTGGGTTGTTTTCCAGTCATATCCCTTTATTGCTCTTGGAGGAATTTTTGAGTGTTCTGATATGAATCATTTGCAAGTGCATGTATATTTTTGTAAGTGTATATATCCAAACAGGTAAATAGTTGCTTCTATGTAAGCATCACTTCATTATCTTTTTGTTTAAATATAGCTTGTATTTAAAAAAGGAGAGTACCAGATTCCTCATGCTTACCAGTGTCATGGAATATTATACTACCTGTATTATGCTTTCATGACTGTAATACTCTCTTAATGGGAAAGCCTGCATTCATTGTGCGCATCTTGGTATGATTTCTGCTTGCCTGTATGTTCAGTTTTGATAAGAGAGCTCTTCAAAGCTTCTTTGGTTTCTTAGGTAACCAGTACAGGATCACAGAAATAAATGGCATTAACTGGCAGTGAATCAAACCAGAAACTGAAGTAGCATTTCTTCCTTTTCCAGACTTTCGTGTGGCTGACAGCATGCACATTTGCTTTTTTGTCTGATGAAGTCATTCCTGTTAGAGTCATCTTTTTTCCTTCTGCAATTTCAGTCTTGCCCATGAAAGAGGAATTTTTGTTACCAGTTTGAATCATCTTTGCTTAGTATTCCTTTCAACCCCTCCATGGAAACTTTTCTTCCTCAATTGTACTGCTTAAAGCTCTAAAAATTTAAAGCTCAAGTGTGACTTGAGCACTGATGTTTTTGTCAAAGGCTGTCAGTTGTTGTTAACCTGAAGATTGCCAATGCTGATCCTGTATGACCATGAAAGTGCAGGCTTACTGGTCTTACACACTGGGTCTGCTCTGGGGATTCAGGGCCACGTGTTTTACAGAGATAATAGACTGCTATGAAAAGTTAGTTTATATTACCTCTTTCCTCATCACACAAGAGCACAATGGCACAGGAAAGGTTAGAATCCAACCATCATGGGAGCAAGCAGAAGGCAAATAACTGGAGCTAGACCAAGGGTTTAAACAGCTTTGTGTTGGAAAGAGAGAGGAAAACTGGATAGCTCCAATGTATGCAAGTAATAATTTTTTTAGACCCATGTCCTTGTCATCTAATGTAATGTAGCATTTGGAGGCCTGGTCTGGAAGGATACTGATGCTATGCTGCAGGCTGCACAATAGCCACTTCTCTGGCTCTCCTGGCTAACTTGCATCTCTCCACTAAATGTTCCTGGTAGATACCTCTAGTACTCACTCCTTTCTGTTGACTGCAAGCTGACGCTTGACACACCTCCTTCCTGCCTGCTCATCACCTTACTGGATTACTGGGCTCAGTCTTTGCAGTCGGAAGACAATGGGCTAAACTTAAATATTTACTTTTAAATCAGTCTTGTTCCTTCCAAGGCAGCTGTGGAGGTGGTTTGAGTCAGTGTGCAGTCCTGTGCTAAGAATGACTGATGTGATGACTTGTGACTAACTGCTTGGTGACTTTTGACTCTGGCATCTTTGACAGTGTTAGGGGGTTTGGGTTTTTTTAATAGGTATATTGATATTTATTGTGGCTTAAGATATGAGCACTATAAACTGCAAATGTGTTTTTCTAATGTACAGACATTTTTCTCTTGCAGGGGATTTTTCCTGCAAACTATATCCACTTGAAAAAAGCAATCGTCAGTAACAGAGGGTGAGTATTTCTCCATCTTTCTAAGAAGCTGCCATGCTTCTCATCTAGAAGGGAATCTAAGCAATAGTTAATAAAATTGATAGAGTGGTTTTAGTTCATCGTAGCTTGTGTATTAGGGTTTGAAAATTCAATGTAATTCTGCAGAGTTTTAGGGAGTTTTTTTGTTCTTTAATAAAGCAAGACTCAATTCTCTTGGTTACCCCTGTTCACATTTGGTACCTCTAAAGTTATAATTTTATGAGCACCTGGAACACAAGCATTTTCAAGAGCTCTGTTAAACATTTTTCCTTTCTGCTTGTTTCTTCACTAGTAAAGTTCTCTGTGTTCCTGTTTGTTGTGGAGGCACTGGCCTGTAGACAGCCTGCCTCATGTATCAGCAGTTTCAGTGAGGCATAGTCATGTTACTTTGAAACTTTGCAAAAGGATCCAACCTGCCACACCTCAAACCAAAGAATAACTGAAGCACACTGCTGGAAATGCTGTGCCTTCACTGTGTTTATATATAGCTTGTATGTTGCTGGAGGTGGGTCTAGTTTAGTCCATGTGAATAGCTAAACTAATGGCAGTCGAATGTCAGATTTTACTGTGAGTAGGCTCTAAATCCTGCAAAGTTTCCTGAGAGATTGACTGAGACTCCTGAAATCAATATCTTGTGTCTTCACAGCTTTTCTAACCTGCATATTCTAGATTAAGGCCCCTGCGGGGAGATAAGTGCAGCATTGCAGACAGTGACCCAAGGCAATAAATTAAATGTGGAACGTAAACCACATTAAATGGCATTTAGTGAAGTACCTGCAGAAAAATGGGACTTCTGATAGTCTTGTTTTGTATGTTTGCCCTCAGAGGGACTGTGTAAAGATTACTAAGGGCAGCTGTAATACTAATGCTTCATCAATTTGGGGTGTAATAAAATTATAGCATAGAATTACTACTCCTAATGTGTACTCTTCTTAGGGGGAAGACCTGTTTCCTGCAATCTGTAATTAATTAGTACTTAGTTCAGAATTTATAAGGGACATTTATTATGAAAATATTTTACTTAATTTCAGTTATTAAGCTGTTGTTCACTCATCCCACGGGTTTTACCTTTTCTGATTCTCTTCCTCATCCCACCACGGGATGGGGAGGGAGTGGCTGTGTGGCTGGCTGGTATTTGTCCACTTCAGTTGAAAACACAGCACTGCACCAGCTACTAATAAGGAGAAAAGTAACTGTTAGAGCTGAACCCAGGAGAGGCTTAATTCACGAGGGTATGTTGTCAGCATCATTCTCATCCTAAATCCAAAGCCCAGGACTATACCAGTTACTAGGAAGAAAATTATCCCAGATGAAACAAGGACAGCATGGCATATAATAATCTTATATTTGAGTCATAGACCCAGTGTAATATCATTAATATATAGTCGTTATAACAGAGGAAGTGCAGGGTTAGAGGGATGAAAACCATCCAATTTACACGGTTAAATGTTGTCCTGATGTGTGCTCTTTTTAAATGCAGCCATACTGTTGAAGGCTCGTCTTCCGGAATGTTTTCTTTTTCACTCATGCCAAAAGTGTACAAATCCATTTCTAAAAATAGTATTTAGAAAAAACACCTTTCATTGGTTTTGTTTTTAACTCTCATGTTAGCTGAACAGTACAGTGTGATTCCTTTCATCCGTTAGTTTTCTGTGCTTTCCTACTGGAATGTTGAACTATTTTGAGTCCCTTCCCTGTAATATCATTTTATGGATATTGGAAAAGAACTGTATTTGGCTTGATAATAGGAAGAAACCTGTGATCTGCTTTAGTGTCCTGCAATACTGAAACAGTCTCCTGGATAGGAAAGATTAATAGATGGTAGATCTTCTTGGTATTTAATGACATTGGCTAACATATGAATTTGAGGGGGAAAAAAGGTTGGTCTGCCTTAGAGAGAAGGGATACAAACCTGTGAAGACCCCACTTCACAGGCAAGTTAATTTAACGTGCTGTAATCATGAAAGGCGTTTTCATTGACCTTGATTAGAATGAAATGATAGATTTTGAACAGGTAACTGGGAAATGCTTCATATAAGCTGCTCTTATGGAATGTAATGAAGGAGCAGCTGATACGGCTCTGGAGTTGCTTCAGACAAAGTGTTCCCCTTAAGATATTTTCCTTTATGTTGAACAAATTCAAACAAATTCAAGTTGTAGCATTTCACAGATTACTGTGCTGGCATTTATTTCTTTTTCTACCTTTTCCAGGGCACTTTTCCTAACTTTTTCCCCTCTTCTTGTCTAGGCAATATGAAACAGTCGTGCCGCTTGAAGATTCTGTTGTGACTGAAGTCACAGCGACACTGCAGGAATGGGCCGTGCTATGGAAACAGCTGTATGTGGTAAGAACAGTACTTTCCTCCCTGTATTTTACCTCTCAGATCTCTTTGGAGATATGTTGCCTGCATTTCAGTCAATTAGGAAAAAAGGATCATCAACATAGAACTGTTAGATTCATCTTATCTCTTGGGGGGTCCGCTAACTGCAGATCACTGATCAAGTGAGGTTCATATGGGCTACAGTGGAAATTTCAGCAGTTTTGGAATTCTGCATTCAGATCTGAAAGCTTCATTGTTTAAAAATAAGTAAGCAAATTAGTGTTCTTAAATAGGAAAGAAATAATATATGTGTTGAGTAACACAAAATGAAAGCCTTCTGTAAGTCCCTTCAAAGAATTATTCAGACAGTATGTATTTGTTTTAGCATCTGGAGTTTGAAAGAAGAACTCGGAGGTGTTTTTGTATGATTGTTCCTTCATCTATTAGAAATAAAACCTCAAGATAATGCCTTGAGCTCTATACTCATCTGTTTTATATAATTTTCAGTTGCTGCCACATAATGTCACCTACTTCAGTTTTCATTATGTTCTTCTCTTCTTAATTGCCAAATCCCATAGAGCAGCAAATAAAACTTGCACATTTGAAAATATTTTTTCTGGTTATTTTAATTTTTTTCTCCTTTTAGCTTGGTAATTAAAGGCCAGAACTGTAGGTTGTACAAGCATCAATATCCTTTCTTTCCTTACTTTAGAGAAATACATCTATATAGAGGTACAGCAGCTTTGTCTCCTTATTTAAACCTGAAGTGACGGTAGTTAGATCTGTAGGAAATAAAGCCAGAAAAGATGCAGTTAAATGAGTCTAGTGTATCTCTAGCATAAGCAGCCATGTCCTGTACGCCCTTCAGAAAGCAATCAAGTCTATCATGAAATAAATTTCACTTTTGTTGCACTCACTTCTCCTATGGGGATCATATGCCTCTGAAGAAATTTTCTTGGAAAGTAGCATCTGACCTAATGTGGGGGCCTGGCACACAGTATACACACTTTTTTAATGCCGCCGTTACACCTAGGATTCTTTCTTTTTTACCAGTTCAAATAGTTACCTCTCTGGTGTATGAATAAAGCAATCATTTCTGGTTTCCTCCTGCAAGATTTCTCTCTCCCCAGTGTCAGATGAAGAGGACAACAACAATACTGACAGTGGTATTAAATTGGAAAAAGGGGGATCATTTTACCTACAAACGAGTTGCACTTCCTCTCTACTAATCCATTTCTTTTTTATTGTTCAGACTAGTTCCTTGAGGGGAGGGAGAAAGCTCTAGCTATAAACTTTCGCTTTGTGATTTTCTTTCTGGGACTTGTTCCTATTCTAGCTCATTATACTTATTATAACACTGCACATAATGTTATTGCATTCTTAAATAACAGGGGAAAGAATTTAGTGTTTCCATAGAACTTCAGAAGGAAGCATCTGTTCCATTACGAAAGAAATAGCAGAGCTTCGAGCAGAAAATTTTTGTGGTGGCTTTCTTCCAGAAATTGGGCAGGAGTGGGGATATCTAACCTAGAAATAATCCCAGAATTGTTTAGGTTGGAAGGTCTCTTGAGAGCATCTAGTTCAACTGCCTTCTCAAGTAGGGCCAGCTAGACCAGAGTTTCTAGGACTGCATCCAGTCAGGCTTTGAGTTTCTTGTCAATGGGGACTCTACAACGTCCCTGAGCAAAGCTGCCAGTGTTTGACCACCTTTAGTCTTTTCATACGTTGAAGACTACTGATGTAGTACCATTGCCTTTCTGATGTGAGGGGGCAATCTACACTGTTGTTAGGTGGGGAGCAGAAATTTATCCCATTTATAGACTGTAAAGTTGAGGCCTGAGGAGGTGTGCAGAGGCTCACAAAAGGACGTGGCAGAGCTGGAGTTAGGATTTTATACTTTGTGTTCAGGCTAGAAGCTATGCTGTAAGGTCATGTCTTAAAGTATATTAAGAGACTAAATGGCAGTACTTGCTTGTTGTGGGATCAGCAGCAGCAGAAAATTTTATTAGTCCCAAACTGTAATAAGAATCATGTTAGAAATCTAATTAATGTTATTTATCATGCTGCTGTGCCTAGTCAGCTTTGTAGAAGAGTTTCTTCTTGTAGTGAAAGTTCAAATGCTAATTGTTCCTGCAGATGCTTTCAGTAGGTCAGTACCTATAAATGGCAACAATAGGCACTTCATTATTCTGTAGCATTGCACTGTAAGGCAGCTGTCAAACAACATGTACAGCATCTCTTCATGCCTCTGAATAGGCTTAAATGTTCTTCTTGTGCTTTGATACAAAATTCTCACTTGGATTATGGTTTGAAAGACCCAAGTTTGTTTCAATCAAAAATTCTAAGAACTTGCTTTATTGTTATCATTGAGCTACATTGTAAGGTTTGTATTTCCCTTTCAGTTAAACAGTAGGAACTGGACTGTAATGCCCAGGAAACCTGGAGTGATTAAAACACTGTCTGAAGAAGGATGCTATGTTGTTCCTAGGTAAAACAGCTCAGCTGGCAGAAAACTGGAGGGAGGAGGAGGAGGACAATGAGAAATGGGAGGGCAAAGTGAAGCACAATTTTGAGAGACGCAGTAGTAGAAAATTAGTTTGTGTAAAATATTGGCTATTTCCTCAGCTCTTTCTGACCACAGAAAGTCCGTGATATTATCAGGAAGAGGCTGTGCATGGGGAAGCTTGAATAGATTTGAGTTCTAAGAGCTGTGCAGTCATTTTAGTTTCTCTGTGAAATATATATTGGACAGATTAGCCTGAATTCACTGTACTACACTGGGCTGTGATGTTTCAGTGATTTTTGCCATCAGGGTGAAAGCAAAGTGCTAGTCATAGTAGAACTAGAAGCTGAGACTGGAGAAAAAGGCATTTTTGTGCAGGAAGTTCGTAGAGGAACTCAATGCACGAAATTCATTGTCAGCACAGCAGACAATGTCAGACAAAGGATCATTGTGCTGACAATGAATTTGAACGAAAAAGATGTATGGTGTGTTATTTGCTTTTCTGTAATATGTTATGCTCTTGGTAGTTGGATTCTGGTATTACAACTCCTAAAATGCTAGTGAAATGATAAGATTTTGGAAATGCAAGAGGTTTCTTTCAAATTAGAAAGGGAAAAGGATACAAGTAATACCGATATGGAAGCTATTGGAATTTGTTATTTAGAGTGGATGTTTTCTGTAGCAGTCACAGAATAGTTAGGGTTGGAAAGGACCTTAAGATCATCTAGTTCATGACAACCTAGTTAATTCTATGCCTACCTAAAAATCACCTTCGTTACTGAGTAATCAGTAATAGTACTTCAATATTTCATATTTTTAAAGGAGTAAAGATGATATGACTTTTATGGTTCTGGGGACAGACTTTTTAGCAAGGCCTGTTGCAATAGGACATGGGGTGATGGCTTTAAAACAAGGGTAGATTCAGACTAGATGTAAGGAAGAATTTTTTTACAACGTGAAAACATTGTCACAGGTTGCCCAGAGAAGTGATCAATGCCCCATCCCTGGACACATTCAAAGTCAGGTTGGATGGGGCTCTGAGCAGCCTGACCTGTTTGAATATGTCCCTGCCTGTGGCACAGGGATTGGACTAGATGACCCTTAAGGGTCCCTTATAATGCAAATCATTCTATGATTCTATGAAAAGAGCACATTTTTTCCCCCTATTTGAATGTATAGTCTGTGTGCAGATAGATACAGTGTCATGACACTGGAAAATAAAAAAGCAGTTCTTTGCTTTCTGATCTGTGTCCTAGCTTCTAGTATGAGCACAGGAACAGTAAGATTTAGTAACTGCTTTCTTTCAAAAAGGTCACTGATTTATTTAACCTACTGGGTTTGGGGTTTTCCTACTTTCTCTGCCGTTGTACAAAATCTTTGGGAAGGAGTTCATGGGAGGTGAGTGCTCAGAATCTGCTATTTAAACACTGTATACCAAATTGCTGGTGAATTGGGCAGAGTTCCTGATAGCCAGAGCTGACCAGATGTGTGTGTGTGCATCTGTATGCACACACGCACACAGATAGATACATATACTGCCACTGAGCATATGGACCCTCTATCTATGTTACTGTTGTGTGGCTCAAATACTCCCTGTTTTCAGATCAATTTGGACAGGATGCCTACTTTGTTTTGTGGGAAGCCTAACAAATTAAAAGCAGGTCCTACTTATCCTTTCTTAGTATTACAAAGGCTTACAAACAAAAGTGATTCCCTTCTGCAATACTTTAATATAGAGTGGAAGTAAATAAGTAAGGTTATTACTGGTACCACTATAGGAAGCTGAGCTTGTTCTTGTGCCTACTCTAAAGGGACAAGGAAGAGAGAGCAGAAAAGACAAAATGAACCTTTAGGAGACTTCTGTAGGCACAGAGGTGGGTGAAGATGTAGAACTGCATTTGTTACGGGGGAACGTATGTGTGCAGCTCTCGTGTAGTTGCTCAGATGACTTTCACTGAGACAGCAAAATAGTGCCAGTAAGGTAGATCACTTTCTCTCTTATTCTGTACGTGTTGATAAGATTTGTTACTTCTGTAGTACTTCTGGAAAGGATCTGCAAGTTCTCTGTCAACTTTTGTTAATTAGGTCAGACAAGGCTCCTGTGAGTTAAGTCAGCTTAAAGAGATCACTGAAACTCACAGTTGGAGCATAGTAGCTATTTTAACAGTAAAACAGAATTCCTCAGAGTTTCAGATGTGATGTGAGGGCTATTTCAGTTGAAATGGAAGATGCCTGTAAAGAGAACAAACATAACTGCCCAATTTAGAATTTAGTCACATCAGTTCAATAAAGGTAAGTTGCTACTTTTATGCAGTAGGAGAGTGGATGAAAAAGTGTGGAGTGACATCTAGTTTCGGGAGTAAGACCTAACGGCATGGGGAATAGAAGGAATTTCTTGCCAGTTGAATCCGAAACAAATTGCGTATTGTCTCCTTTTAAATTTTCTGAGGATTGTGATCAGAGGAAAAGAGAGTGGGTAACAGGACTTGGCACGATTGAAGCTGATTTGGGTGGTTTAGGG